AAACTTAGATTTTTATTATTAAAATTTTTTTAACCAATCAAAATTTAGCTTAAAAAAATAAAATTTTTTAAAAAAAATTTTAATTTGGATTGTGTTACCTATTCTAGCAATCTGATTGGTAATTTAGGTTATACTGCATATAGAAAATTGAAAAAACTGAAATATTTTAAGCTATTCAACTTTGTTAATACTTTCTATTATTCTATTCTTAACTAGTTCTATTTATTTGAGATAAGTTATTTAAGCTTATATTGTCGTGTTTATTATGTTTTAACTAGTTGGAGGCATAATTATTAGACGAAACTTTAGATATTAATTGGGCAGTTTTGAACAATTGATATCATAAAAATAGTTCATCTAACAATTCTAGTTAAGGTGTGAAAAATAATATACTGAACTTAAGCTTATAATATTTTTAATTTAGGACATTTTTCTTTTATTTATTCGTGTTAATTATGTGGATCTGGTGCTAAGAAAATAGACGAATTTGATGAAAAAAAAATTTTACAAAAAATTGGGGTTCTCGTGAACTACTGATCAGAATTACATGATTTTGGTACCATTCGATTCGTCATATTGAGACGAATCGAATGGTACCAAAATCATGTAATTCTGATCAGTAGTTCACGAGAAACCCAATTTTTTGTAATTTTTTTTTTTCATCAAATTCGTCCCTTTTTCCAGCAAAAATCCATTATTTATTAATTGGCATATTTAAATTATTTAAATCAATTTTAATTTAATAATTGTATAATTCTTTATTTAAATAAATAAATGAACGTTTTTAATAAATATATATATACAGTTTTTTTTGTGATTTGTAATTATATCTTATTACTGATCTTAGTTTAATCATTTTATAACTTGTAACTAGCCCGATACCTTCCAGTAAGATAAATTTACACGAGAATAACTTCGTTGGTATTCGCTAAACCAACCTGGTTGAAATTTTAATAAGCTGTTTTCAACCTACTTAATTTTAAAAATTACCTTATTAGTAATAATTCTAGTTTAACTAGCTTAAAATTTCTTCGTAATTACACGATTTCAAAACCTGACAAGGTCTACGTGTCGAATCTGGTACCTCGTAGTCGTAACTTGCAACCTTTTTTAACGGTTCTAGTGGTTTATAATTTTTAAAACAAGCTTGGTAAGTTTATAGAAGCGAAATAGTAGGCAGTTTTATAATATAAAAGTAAAACAAAATGCTAACTTTAAATTATGCACACCCTACCGTCAATCACAATTTAGTCACGTGCTGGACAGACGGTCATTTTTTAAGTTTTACTTGTACATGTAAGTCCTCGCTACGCTTCGGACAATTATGCTTCTTTCATTTATATTTCTGTATTATTGTTGTGACAAGGTTTCTTCGCTTAATACTCTTTTATAGCTTCTTAAAACAGAATCTATCCACCTTACTATTTCTTCCGGAACTTAACATTTTTCAAATAATTTTTTTTATTGTGTTGTGGAAGGGTTTATTGATAACGAAAATTTCAGCGAACATTTACAAACTGAATTTATTGAAAAATATTGGAATAAATGACAATTTAAGGGTCTATTCCCTAAAGAATGCTGCGTAGGTCTAAAACACTGATATGTACGTGTTTGAAGCATAAGTAAAGGATAATTTCAGTATTTTTTCGGCTTTGTTATTGTCAATAGTAAGATAAACAAATAATGGAAAGCCCAAAGATAGATCTGGACCTATATCGAAAGTAAATTCAATTATTAGCGTCATATATTGGTGATCAGTCTTTTCTTATAGCTATATATTATATGTGTATAACATATGTATGTATATCTATACATGTGTGCCTAAATTGTCCATCTTAATAAAAAGGTAATTACGGCATTTAGGCAGCCGAAATTAGTCTTATATAGTGCCGAAATTAATTTTCATATTTGCCGAAATTATTGCCGAAAATTTTTGAACTCTTTTCATCAAAATACATCATATAGTATAGTATTTCGGAGGGTTTAATTTAAAAAATTTAGTAATGCCGAAATGTTTGCCGAAAATACTTTTTTTCAAAAATAATTTAGGCACACATGTATATGTATATCAATATATATATCTTTACGCAAAAACGTATAAATGAAGGATTTGAAATTAATTTAATTAATTTGATGGAAAACACTTTTCCATACTTAAAAACCTACGGACTATGCCAACTGATGCGTCGGAAATCAAAGACTTTTGGGTTGGTTCTCCAGTTCCTGGTAGTATCAAAAGTTACAACTTCTTTCATGACATCATGCTAAATTAATATATATATATATCTCTCTAATTTATTATTAGAAATAGTCAAGATAAAATGCCTCCTATATTACAATTGTCCAATCACCGTCGAGTGTTTTCAGATTGCTGGTTAGCTCTACTTAAATTACAGAATCATATAAAAATATTCTCTTGATTATGCATAAGAAAATAATTCCTCACATGTTACAGCCTACAATGTTAATGGACTATCTGACAGAAGCATATAATGCTGTAGAGCTTGGACCCGTGAACTCCTTATCCGGATCCGTACGGTTAACCGTATATCCAGGTGTTATAATTGTCTCACGGGTGGTAACCGTCATCCGCCAATTTTAAACGGATAACCTAACAGGTATCCGCGGGTATCCGTTCATAGGAAGACATTCATATGATTGGTTAATTTTTGTAAATTTACCCGTGATTTCCGTGATAATTACCAATCAAATTACAAAAAGTACACACAAAAGAATTTATCACATAGAGAATAGATAGATACGCGTAAAGTGGGCAAATGTGATCTTTATTACCCCTAACTCGTTAAAAAACTATAAGACATAAACTAAACTCTAATTTACGGTTGAAAAGCCCAAATACATTACAAAAACAATCAAATTTAAACATTAAACCCGGATATTCTATTATTGCAGTTTGCAAAATTATGAAATTTGAAGATCAATAAAAAAAAAGTAATCACTTATTGATTTCCAATTTCTTCAACATTTTTTTTCGACTTTTAGACTAGACGAAATTTGCGCATTTATCATTTGTAAAGATTTGATTGGATATTTTAATGCGCAACACCTATTTTTGCAAATATATTTATTTCTATAAAAAATAAAATTTTTACAAATAATACACAAATTTTGTCTAATCTAAAAGTCAAAAAAAATGTTGAAGAAATCGGAAATCAGTAATCAAAAATTAGGGATTAATTTTTTTTAATGATCTTCAAATTTCACATAATTTTGCAAACCGCAATAAATAGTTTGGACCTATTCAACTTAAACAGTTAACAATAAAAATTTATTTAATTCTTAAGTAATAAAATAGTTTTGAACAAAAATATTTCCAGTTATCTTCACTTTATAGCATAATTTCACGCAGTCCAATAGGCGTTGGTATATTCTGTTCTCTAAGTAAGTGAGAAGGCAGAAAAGTACTTTAAAGCATATAAATGAGGATTCTACTGACATCCAAAATTACATGACAATTATTATTTTGGTTGGTTAAGAATATTTAGTAGCTAACCCAGGGACGATGATTTACTGCGATCTTAAAAACAGATAATCACAGAAATCACCTTTAGTCATCACAGAATTCCACAAAATTCTAAAAAAGTAGTACAAAATATCACAGAATCTATAATATCACAGTATTTTGACCATAAATTCA